CGGAAGAAAACTACCTGGCTTACCTGAGTATTATCGATATGGTGTTTCCATCCAACCGGCGCAACACTTCAGAGACACCGATGGTTGAACATAGTCTCCGCAGCAATTAACGGACAGTTTGCAGTGTCGAATCATTGAGCTGACTTAACTTCAGCGTTCATCGTTCTGTTCAGCCGCCAGAAATCACATGCTCCAAGGCTGTTGTGATAACTGGCTTCATCCTATTTCTGAAAGGAACTCGGTTTAACTCATATGTTACCTAGGACCAAGCACGCATTCCGCTTACAACGTTGCTGAAAATTCTTCGGCAGCCCATGACTGGTTTCGCCCTTCTTGGGGCTCATCAGGAATAGCATATACGATATATTGAGCTGAGTCACCCGTGAAAACCAACTCGATTTGCAAATGATGGTATTTGTCAAAATCTGTCTGTCCAATTCGGGTTCAGGTAGAGTATACGGTTGACGGAATCTCGGGGATCTGATGAATCCTAAGATGGGCAAAACCAGTCGTCGGCTGTTGAAGAGCTTTCAGCGTAACGTATGTTCTCACTTTTTCCGCTGATCACCCATATTCATCATTCCAATACTTTCGACATTTTTAAGAGATAAAACTGTAGTCAGTTACACAGGGACGTCCACTCATTCAGGATACTGAACTTTTTCCAGATTGTTGCGTATGGCAATCTCGAGGCTCGAACCAAGGATCACGCATTTCTCAGTTAAGCGTCCCGTGGGAAGAACGCCAACCTCCTGTATCCCAGTAAATCAGCCAACAAGTTGATGAAACAATTTTTGTCCAAGTGATGCCTCAAAACAAAGGGTGCAAGGTCATGTGGGAGTTGCGTATTTTCACACAGCCATGCAAGACGGTGCGGACACACATGAATTCTTCGCACAACCTCCTTATCCATAGTCGATTAAACTGTAGCAAAGGAAACCACAGTACCCTGACAGACTGAGCACCTAGCTGCCCAATTATTGAGTCTCACATGGAAGTGAGGTTGACGAACGGCAGAAAACAGGTAAGCTAGCGTCTGCTGCACTACAGAAGACCGTTCATATAGGAAGACGTAAAACTCTACCATAGACTACCCGAACTCGATTTTACCGATTCTGTGAATGGCGATCCGCAACAGAAGGAGCACTGTTCACCAATCATTTATTGCGTTGACTTCAATCGGTGTCCAGTTACATCATCTGAGGTTCGCTTGAGTGTGAAAGACAAACAAGCTGACGAGGCTCGCATTCGTTCGACCATTAATAACCTCGATGGTTTTAAGCCCACCGAATCTGCTTATTCTTTCCACCAAGTGGAAAAAATGGCCCCATTTCTCCTAGGTTAGACGTCGACCCCTGATCAACATCTGTCAAGCAGAAACAGAACTGCTTACGCTATAAAAGTACACGTTATTGTCGCAAGACAGAACGAGTACCTTCGGCCAACCGGAACTTTGTCATTTTTCTTGTTCGTCTTTCGTCTGAAGGCACGAAAAAACCGTGTTCAGATGCTGAAAAGCATCCAGCAAATTACAGTGACTCTTTTTCAATTAAATAAGAGAAATAAATGGTTAACCGAATTTCAGTTGCCAACATTTTGGTCGTCCCAACAACGACAGCTACTCTTCGAATTTAAACTGCATTTGGAGTTTTCTGGTTGAGCTTAAAGTAACACTTCTGTTTATATCAGGAAGGTCAGATTCCTGGAAGTAACCCCAGAACTCCCGGATCCTACTGAGACCCTAAAACCCCACCAAAATCTCAGTAGGGAAGCTGGTAAGAATCCAGGTCAGTCAATCATTCAATCAGCTCAACGAAGCCGATAAATGCTCAGGCACGCCACAGATGCACGACCGAATCTGATCAGCGTTCAGGCACACCATAGAAACTTGATCGATGTTGATGGAAGTTCACTGAAAGCCCATCGGACAGCCTGGATCAGTGTCAAAAAGCGCTCTTTAAATAAGGCCCGCACTCGCTTGTTGTAATAAAGCTGTTGTGTTCCTTGTTGGGAGTTCTTTTTCTGGCACCGGACACTGGAGCGAGAACAGCAGTCAGATAATAGATTGGTGGCGGTTGGACTCACGGAAAGATGACAACTGCTAAAGCGTCGGAAGTAATTCTGCTGCAACAAAATCAGTTTGAAGCGGCGCAATTGCGTTTGGTGGAAACATTGACGCAGCAACTTAAAATTCGACCGCCAAATTCCGCTCCTTCATGCAAATTCAGTCGACTCGATCACCAATAGCATCAGGGAGTTCCATTATGACCCTGATGCCGGTGTAACCTTCGATTCGACGTTCATACGTCATGAAGATATTTTCAAAGTCAAACTGAAGCACAAGGATGGTGCCTGGAGAGTACGCTTGTTGCTCAGAAAGCTCGGCACAACGGAAGACACACGGCATTCCAACTTCATCCTGCCTAAGAACACGCAAGATCTCAGTTTTGACAAAAGCGTGCAGCAACTTCCAATGATTTTCGGTGAGCGTTCGTCCTTGTTTAATATTCGCTGCCAATGTACGAAACATGTGAGAAAAGAATCCGAAGACTACATAATTCATACCGATAGAGTCAACCTTGAATGCGAACAATTCAAGTTATCCACCATAGCGGAAGACCAGTTCAAATGTCTTATTTTCATATGTGGTCTTCAGTCGCATTCAGACAGTGATATCAGAGCGAGATTATTGAACAAGATTGAACAAACTGCAGAAATAACGCTGCATCCATTACTCATGAGTGCCAGCGCCTCTTGAATGCTAAACACGACACGTTCATGTTGGAGAGACCATTATCCAACCCTACTTCCAATATTGCCAAAACAATATCGAGGCAACCTCTCGTGGTGGCGAATATAAACGGAGCAAAGCCCCCGTCACAAGCTGGCAATGCGGCGAGTGGCATTTCGGGCTATTGTGTCCCTAGAAAAAGCACAGTTCACCACTGAATTAAGCAATAGTTCAACCAGTACCTCCCCTTCACCCCAGAGACCTGCAATCGCAAGGCTCTTGATTCATGCCACCCGCAGTTCCAAAGGGAACTGTCCTTTCTGCCGTTGGATTGACGAAGGTTGGCAGTTTATTGTTGCATCTTGACTGTACATGATAGTCACTGACAGCTACCAATCGCTTCATTAGCGAGCTTGAATCGGGTTCGCCAATTAGGCCCGTCTGTGCGCGTCCACCGTCAACTAGGCATTCTGTCTGTTCCTGCTCGATCGGTTTGTATAGGCTACACGCCTGAGAGAACCGGATGCAACGTGAAGGCCTGACCGTCAGACTTACCACAGCTGCGCGTTGTCACATCCGGAGACACACCCACAAACCCAGGGGTGAAGCTACGTCTACGGTCCTCCATACCGTATCGGTTGCCCCAGACGCAGACGCCCATGGTGTACATTAATGCGAGGGGCGAGATGACCGAAGTGGTTAGAGCGCGAATTTACTGACCGTAAGGTCCATGGTTCGAACCCGACCTCTGCCTCTCGACTTCCCCTGTCTAGGCTTGGGCAACCGGCAGTATCCCAGCCCTCGTACTTCCTTCGGGTGGCATGGCAGCTAGGAACCAAAGTGGTGCTACAGCTGAACGATTTTTTTCACATCCATGCGAAAGTGCGATGTGAAGGTGGAATGATTGGAAAGCTGAAGAAAACGCTCAAGTTATGAAGACGCAGCGGAACCACAGTGGAACAAAACTGGTTAAGTTCTGAAAACCGGAAGTTACGGCTCTCCGACCAGGCTATCCTGTGGGTACACCAACAATCAACCATACCCATCGGCAAAGACAGTCTCCTGTCCAACAAGATCCCAAGATCACGAGAACCGCTGAACAGAATAGGTAGTTTCTTTAGTGAAATGCACTCATTGCAAACAAAACTCGGGGACGGTGCCTACCTGGTGAGCCCCAAGAAGGACGAAACCAGTCGTGCGCTATCGATGGATTTTCAGCAACCTTATGTGTGGTGCATTACGTATATATAGGTAGTTTCTTTATTTGAAAAGATAGCGATGACACCCGAAATCAATACATTGCGTGAGTGTGAGACAACAGGACATGCAGCTCAATGGTGCATGCATTTGGCTTGCAGCAGCGCAAACAACATGAGATTACTGAGGTCTAGCCCTTAAAACACAAACGAAAGACAATAAGCCAAACACTTTCACTAGTATGGGAATTAGGTTTTGGCGAGAGAATTAACTGAATTCAGCCAAATCTCTCGTTTATGAAGAAAATAAGAACTGAGAGCCAGCACAACAAAAAAGCGTTGACAGAATCAACGTCGAACGAATTAGTAATAATAAAAGTAATCGTTCAGCTGTTAAACTCCTTCGGTACCCAGCTGCCATGCTACCCGAAGGAAGCACGAGGACTGGAATACTGCCAGTTTCCCTAAGCCTAGACGGTGGAATTCAAGAGGCAGAGGTCGGGTTCGAACCACAGACCTTCAGGTCAGTAAATCCGAGCTGTAGCGATTGAGCCATTTTGCCCCGAATGAATTAGTATCTGACGTATATTTGATCATCCATTGTGCGAACCGCTGGACAACTTTGTCGTACTATTTTTGGCAAAAGGTCGCCAGTATTTGGTGCCCGCAATATGTTGCTCCGGAGTGCATGGAGCACAACTGAAGAGAACCAAATTCACTTCATAGGAATCAGCTCATAATCCAGTTTGCGGGCTTTCACTGAGCCAACTAGTCAGCTTGCTCGAACCGTCCTCAACCAATCAATCGAACTGAACACCGTTAAAGATCCCGTTCACAAGACAGATTCACACGTTCTTGTTAGACGTCTCACTGCCGCGATTGACTATCCTTAGCTAAGAATGTTGTGAGTTGATTATAAGTTCAGAAACTCCACCGCGTTGGCGAACGGATCCAATGCAATCAAGTGGAGGGCGTGTGAAGTATGAGGCAATACTCTCAGATAGCGAACACATAATAATTTAATACCGTTCGGTCCCGTACAGAACGCATGGCTATCCATCGAGTACCCCTGTAACACACCTAGGTCTATGCCGTCTCAAGAAAGTACCGTTTTTGAACCTTTGACCAAAGGTGTTGACTGATCAGCTCTTAGATGTCAGTAGCACACAATTGGACAGCACCTTCTGAATTCATTATCTGGAGTGGAGTCCAAACGAAGGGGCGTATTTACAATAGAAAAAAATTTAGGAAACTGGCTTGTGAAGTGCTGAGTAGGGAAGGGGGTAAAGTTTACATGGGAGGTGCAGAAATCAGCTGTAAATTTATCGTCAGTCACGAATGCAGATATGTTTGCAAAACGGTGGGCTAACTGTGCGGCAGTTGACTTTGCAGCCTTTTCAGCTTTTCCGTCCAATAAATCTTCTTCATTTCGAGTATTTCAAGTTGTTTCCGGCAAATTTGCATCTGTAACTGAGAGTTTTGTGTGAATTTTTCCAACTCATCCGAACATCTGTAGGAACGAATAAGAGTGAGATGGAATTGTTATTCCAAAATAGTATATAAACAGTCCAAAAAACAACAATTGGATCGGTTTCTTTAATGTGCAGCGTAATTTTGCTACCGATAGGTTATAAACATCTACCGTGCCCATTTGATTGATAAAAACACGACCTACGTAAAAGTTACACTGATCACACCAGAACCCCACCAACCATTTTGAAAATGCACCTTTATGTGTACGTCAAACAGGTTAGGTGTCAAACACTACGGTAACTCTGATTGACAACGATTTGATCGTTTCAAGTACAGGAAGTATGCACGTATGAAATGAGTGTGCTAGTCCAGAAGGGGTTATGTTACATGACGCCTGTTACGGCGCATGAGCATAACTCAGTCATTTGCTACGATCGTGATGGCCCACTGATCTGTCTGCCATCTATAAGTGAATTGTGCCCATGAGGTATCTACTCGCCACATTGCTGATATGATCACAAACAGTTTCCGTGTAACCAAAGTGGTGAGCTCACTTGTTCACAAATCGGCTGTTAATCGCCGAACCGCCAAAAGCCAGATCGCCCCGAAATGAACAAATCGTCATGTTGGCCTGAACCTAATCTTCCACGAGATCTATGAAGTGATCTACTGTAGCAAACATTTCAAACTATAACCGCCAGACCTAGCAGAGGGAAGTGTCCCTCGCTTTTACGAGCCGGAATTGTGGACACGAATTTTATTCGCAGCGCAGTGGTTGGACTAGTGAGCATCGCAAGGTCACTTGCGGCATGAACCGCTGGATTGTTGATAAGTAACCGTGAGGGACGTTTATCGCGCTTGAGGAATCCAATTCGTTCAGTTCAATGAAATAAAATATTAATTTATTAAGAAAACCTTATTGTGAACTTTTCATTCGTTGATCAAACGTGCTTGATTGCGATCGGTCCATCTTCTGCTTGGCTCGGTAGCGTCCTATGGGGATTGTGGCCGATCGTGACTGTCAGGGCGCTCCCAGACAGAAGAAAAAGCACATGTGCAGAGTGACTCATCCCCAAGGTCACCATCGGCTCGACATGTCCGGAAAGTAGGTGAGTTGGCGGCTCCCACCAAACACGGCTTAGCAACAGACGACCAGCGTAGTGGGCCTGAGAATGTTCACGACCGGAACACCACCATTGGCTGTACGGAGCGAACAAGTGAACGATCATATTTGGTCAATTAGTCATCCTATATATTACGCAAATGCTCTGTATGTTTTGTCCTGGCAATACAGCCGTGTCCCCAGTTCTCTGTCTTCTCCCTATCGCGTAGTCTGGCAGGCTCAGTGCAGGCGTAACCCCATAGCTCGGCCACACCGCACGATACAACAGTGACCTATTGAGATCGACGGGAATTATTGGACTGAATAGGTCAAACGGGCATTCGATCATCGCTTGGAGAACTTTTTTCACTTTCACAGTCATTTTGTCAGTTGCATGTCAGCCGTTTTTGCAATATTCTGGAAATCGCTACACCATAGCTGACACATATAAACTCTTTTTCCACTTCCTTGTTGCTGTAGGTCAGACTCTTCGCGTCAATTGGGCTTCATGAAGGCATTTGCTGCGCCCTTTACACAAATGGTTGGTAGATTTTTGCGACGAACTGGAATCGGTTCAACATCAATGAAAAAAATGCATTGTTACTTCAGCACCTAGTTGCCGCTAACTGTCTGGAATGATAAATGGCAAAGACTCAAGGAGCATTGAACACAGATCTACCATCCGACTTCAGTATTTTCTGGAGCAAGCTGGGTTGAGGTCAAGACACAATCTGTATGAGTAGATGGAGGGAAATAGAGACGATACGTCATGTGGAATGTGCCACGTACCAATGTGCTGGTGAGCTATTATGGATTTTTTTAAAGTCAAAATACAACATGGTGGAATAAGATGTCGTGATCGGACGTTTCAGTTGTTATGGCCTCCCTTTGTCATCGGCGCTTCAGCACGCAAATGCCTGTGAATCCAATCCTCATTGAGGACTGGTAGCATATGGCTGCTTCGGCTACGATAAAAAAGTCGCCGGGCTACTCAGAACGCCGCATTAGACCAGATAACCCGTCACAGTTTTAGGAGGGACTGATAAACAGCCGGTTGGCAACTGCAGCTGGACAGTGATTCACTTTGACACAAGAAAATTCGTCACGCCAGGAAAGTAGGTTTTCAGCTTGACCAACTTACAAGGCAGACTTATAAGGCGACATCTATTCTTAACTTTATTTCTGAATCACGGTTGGATGATGGGTATAAGGTTTGGATCTCCGCAGTACTACCAAATAAATCGACAATTATATGGGCTCTTTTAAAAAGCACGGTATCCAGGCTTCTTGAATCCACCAAAATAGACTGTTCCTGAAACTCATTACTGTTGGTCACTTTGTTGATTAACGTTTGGTAAAACTAATGAGCTAGGCAACTGTAATGAACCAGTGCCAGCTCATACCTCTCCTCATTACAAGTCGCTTCTCCACACCGAGAACTGAGGGACCAATTAAGGAAGTACCAAGAGAGAAAACCTCTAAACTAGCAAGTACATCTGCCAAAAAGGGTGATTTTTCGCCGAGAATCGTTGTTAGGCCCTTCAGAAAAGACTACTAACGGAATGACCAGTACAAATACCAAGTATTCTACTTCCGGTTGAACCCATTCAGTTTTCCTCATGCAGCTTTAAATCCGACAGTTTGTGCAGTCAACCTACGTGGTTGTTTTGTGCGCAGGAGTACGAGCTCTCCCATGCAGTAACAGTCACAATGCGTCGCGTCGAGGTTTCAGTTGCGGTAAGTATACCTGCCCTATTCCACAACATTGAAACCATGCCTCCACTGGGCTTGTACAACCTGTTTCGTTTTGGGAACCAAAATCGTCTCGGCGGATACAAACTGCAAGGTAGGGAGGAACTGCAGCGCTAGTCCCGATTGTAATACCATCATGCTTGGGCTTCAGTGAGTTTACACTGGGTCAACCCCCGCCCCAGCAACTCCGGCTCTGCACAAGCCACTTGTTGCCATAATTATGCGAAGGCGTCTAGTGGTCCAATCACTGTTGACAAGTACATCCGTATTGGTGCGCAGTGAAACCAAACTGTGCTTTGGGTAGAAAAAATGTACACCTCTGTGCGTCGTCAAAATCACTGTACTGAGCTATTACGAGCCCTGAACTTTGCGATTAGGATCCCCGTACCAATATGCCGTAGCGACCGAAAGCTATTCGCGGTCATCGCGGCGTTTAACCATCCTGTCCTGGAGACTGCGAACACCTACCTCACGGGACCACAACTACCTGGTTTTTTCAAGGCCTGGTGGAGGGGGTACTGGATATACAAATGAAGTAAAACAAGCGCCCTGATAACAACAAACAGAATCGTAGGATCGCAAAATATAATCACGCCAGTCATGCAAAAACTATCGTTTAAAAACTGTAGATCATGGTCAAAGGGCTGTTAATTGCGGTTCATTGAAAAAACTGTCACGTAGATCAATGTGAACCATCATAAACGCGGCTGGTTAAAAAAATGGTCTATTCGAAGGCTACAATACGTTATATATTTAAAAATACGTTTTTTGCAAAAGTTGTGACCGCGTCGAAATGCTGGTAGATGGGATGCGCTTACTCGTTGTTGAACTGATGGCTTTTGTCCCGTTCGCTGGGCTTGGCAATAAACTTGACACCTAAATCATCGTTCGTGTTTGGACAATTAAGTGTCCAAACCACAAGCCGACAGGTCACGGGTTCGACGTTAGCTGGAGTTTTGTTCGATGCCTACTGCTGATCATTCCAACTAAGGATGAAACAGCTATGCAGTGCTCCTCGACTTTCCAGTATACACTGACTTCACATACAGGAAGAAATATCCATTGAAAATTAAAAGAGGTCTCACACTATCAACATAGAAGAGATTCATACCCAAATACCGCATCCAATTTCCGCACCATCAAACTACATCACATCCAACCCACCTAAGTCATTCCCTTCGTCATCCCATTCTCAGGCTTTACCTTTTTATTGTATCGATAACTGCTACACATTTATCTTGGCTCACCCTCTTTGATCTGACAATTTCCAGTAACTTATCCTGATTAACACACTTAGTCAGTCAATGGATACCTTGGCTCCATCTGGTGCGTAATGCTGGCCACCATTCCATCCTACTCCCACAAGACTTGACATTTGCGTAGATGAGTGGCATTGGCTCCATTTTTATTCTGCGGTCCTTTTTCCCTCAGATTAAGACCAGGCACAAGCGCAAACCGCACTTGAGCGTTGTTCGGATCCGGACGTGGATGCTTAATCACCGCCGGTGCGCACAATGAGTAAAATAATCCAGGCGATTCAGCTCGTTGGATGATCGTCTTCGGTGGACAGCTGTCTAATATTCCACATCCCAAAACACAGCTGAAATTCTTTATCTAGATCCTATTCTGTGTATGGGCTAGATGACTCAATGGTTAGAGCGCGAATTTACTGACCGGAAGGTCCGTGGTTCGAACCCGACCTCTGCTTCTCGACTTCCT